TTTTTTTTTTTTTTTTTGCTCTTTGATAGCAAAAGCTCCTCCGAGTCTGAAATTTGGTTGTTGAAGTAAATCGAGAAGTTCGTTCGACTGAGAAGAAATATTGTAAATATTACAAATCACTAGCTCTGTCTGCCAGAGAGCGGTGCAAAATGTCTAAGTGAAATTCATCAAATTGTTGCAATCCAGTGGAATTTTCAACGAAGATATTTTTCCCAGTTGAAACGAATGTTTAGACGATGCTCCGACCTTTCGTACAAGATCATCGGCCTTCGTGTCGAGATGAATAGTATTACACGCGCCTAAACACGAGTCTTCGGTGTTGAAGTAGCAATGCTTGATAGCAAGTAGTATAACGTCTCCGTCGGCACCTACCCAGCCAAGTAGCACGTGTTTATAGAAACTGGCTCGCGTTTGTTTAAAGTGGCCCGCATTATACAGACCCCCGTGAAGAAGTGGCCCCCATGATTCGAATGTCAGAGGCCACGTCAAGTAGTCGCTTCAGGTAAACATCTTTTTCTATTGGACTTGGTTTGTCACCGGTCAAACTACATTTTTTACAAACTGAGACGCGAGCAAACAGCGGATGAAAACATCCTCGAGAGAAGCCACTGCTATATAACTTGTTTAAATACAAGCAATATTTATTATCTCTTGTTTGTTATTTAGATTTGTCGCTCTCGATCCTGGAAATAGTTCGCACTTGTTCCCAAGCGATTCAGATTGTTCTTTGGAAGATTGTAGTTGGAGAACACTTGCAGAACTTTCGTCGGGGGGGGAGGGGGGGGGGAATCTGGAAAAGAAAAAGATTTGGGGTTGTAATTTTGAAAAATGATTATCCCAGAATCCCTGGGGAACGTGTAGAGACTTCTGAAGGTAAAATTTTCTTGTTCGTCAGCCGGATCGACTTGTCATCAAATTAAAAAATACTCCAAAATTTGGGTTATTCTAAAATTCTGTTTCATTATTAAAATTTAACATTTTAGGGTTTCTAAGAGTAGAATATTTCTTGTTCATCAAGCAGATCGATTTGTTATCTAATTAAAAAAAATTCCCAAATTTGGATTATTCTAAAATTCATTATTAATGAATTTTATTTCATAATTCTATAAATATTTCATAATTTCATATTTTCATTATTAATAATTTCATTTCATAATTCAGTTTCATTATTAAAACTTAAGATTTTAGGGTTTCTAAAAGTAGAATATTTCTTGTTCATCGACTTGCAGTCAAATTCAAAAAGAATCCCTGAATATCTCGGCTTGAAATTAAAGTCTGAGATTTGTGACGTTGGTCTCTTCAGAATGGAAAAAAAGTTTGCAAACTATCATAGGAAAAGGTAGGTGACACGTCTTCATCAGTTCCCATCTTGAATCCCAGTATTTCTGTCAGGGTTGACAGTGTACAAGACAACAACCTGGTGCACGCGAAATGCCATAACTCCAGGTGACTGAAGATATCGAGACACGCAAACTGTCTCAAAGGTGACGATTGGTCCGGTTTCAACAAAGTTTCTTCGTCTTTTTACTGGCTCGTGGCCACATCTTGAATCCTTTTCTCTTTCGAGAGAACACGCCTGCTTTTGGAATTTATTAATTAATTCCTTTGCCATCCAGACAGACGTAAACCTCTTCAACCACACTCGTACTTCGTCACTTTGAAAGTTCTCCAAGAGTTTTTCCCCGAGTCGAATTTCTAGCCTCTTTGTAACTAACAGTAAGAGTTCAATGATTGTTGCACGGTTTTCAAGCTTCAAGGCAAGAATTTCTTTGCCACCTGTGCCGAAGTGGATTAATCAGCGTGGATTTCCAATCTTCTTGCAGGCGACAGAAACTCGAGGAGCGCTGTCCTAGCCGCCAGGGAAATAACCACCTCGTCCTGTAGCTACATGGCCCACGAGAAACTCTCGTACGCGTTCAGCGTTTGGAGGATGGAGGACGACTGGAACTCGAATGCCTAGCAAAAGCTTCTCTCACCGTTCGCGGTGATCTCGACGATGTGACAAAGTCACGTCGAACAACTTGTGTCGTTGAATGGTTGGACGCTGCACTGAACGAACTGCCTCGCGACTTGACAGAGTTCTCATCAGGATCATCTCTTCGCGGAGAGACTGGAAAGACCGTGCGTTGTTGTATCTTCGTGAAACGATACATCGATCTATCATATTCGCCGGCACGAGAGTTGTGAGGAGGACCTGCCTGTGTTTCGAAAGGATCCAACGTCACCGCGTCGGAATGTTGATAACATTCATGCACGCCTGTTCGCGAAGAGATTGAAAGTGCGCGCGGGTCTTTGTGAAACCGATTTCGTATTTTTGCTGGCACGAGAATATTGAAATTGAACGCGTGAATTTACCGAACGTTGATTCGTTGGTGTTGATAATATTAGCAGCGACTGGCAAGTTATCTTTGCGATTTTTCTTTACAAAATTTCTCTTCAACCACGAAAACTACAATTTGGCGTGCTCTCTGTTTCTCCGTCAAATCAATACTTTGGATATTTTATATTACCTGCTTTCTGTGTATTTTAAGTTCTGTGCTTCAAAGTTCTCCATAAATCTCCGCAGTCTGTTTGTAATTATATTATATTACAATATCGTTTATATTATACTGATAATTTTCTCCCTTTTATTATCAAGCTTTCATGAACATTGTGCCAGGCAATTTGTACAATTCTGCTGATATTATCACATAGCCGAATTAATTATACAAAATGAATCAAGAATTCATTTTCACGCGAGTATTCAGATTGTACTTAATTATTCTATTTTCTTTTCTTTTCTTTTCTTTTCTTT